GCAGGAGGATCCTGAGCTCAAACCAGCATGGGTTACATACGAAGAACTTGTCTCCGAAAAACACAAAGTTTCCCCTGCTCCTAAGACTGTTGTTAGTCCCACTATTTACTTATTCTTTCTGTAAGTAAAATAATTTATACTGAAAAACTAATCTCAATGTTTTTATAGTCATGTTATGTGATTAAGAATATAGCCTGTAGTGCTATAATTCAAGTATTTTTAAATGGTCACTGACAGTTATTTTAATTTTTAAATGTAGAATTCTTTATTATCAATATAAAATATAATAGCCTTTTTTCCTATAGCTTTACAAGAATGATTTTTAAAACCACTGGAAAAGCATTCAGTTCAGAAAAATGTGGAAATATTTTGGATCTCAACTACAGACTATATGTCTCAAGTATTTATAGCTAATAATAGTTATACATATTTTTAATGACTCACTTTCTTTAATAAATCAGAGTAGATTCAAGTTTATACTCGCAGTGATGTTACTGTCAACACTTGCATTCTGATACGCTTCACAGAGAGGGAGAGAAAGAGATGGAATTACACAGCAGGCATGACAGAAAATTTCACACTGGAATACATTACACTTATAAATATCTGGAACTTGGATGGGAAAATCACTGATTCGCAGCACAAAAACCTTTGTTTATTGCTGGATGACACAAATAACAGTATGCAGTTCAACTACTAGCTCTTGACCCTGTGCTTACTATGGTATACCCAATATACTATAAGATATTCCATGTACTCTGTATTCTTTCAAGAATTACAATGTTATATAGAGCAGACATTCTGGAATAAGGACATCCACAAAATACTGCTCCCTAAGAAAAGTCATGTATATCAGGAGATGGAAAATATACAAATACCATGAAATTTGAAAATTAAGTTTTAAGCAGATGAAGTTAATGTGATTCAAAGGGAACACTCATTAGAATTTTTTTTTAATAACGTTCGGCTTTTCTGCATCACCTTTAAGAAAATACTTTGGATTTTTATTGGTTTTTGTTTTTGATATTTTTAAGACAGTGTTTTGCTTTGTAGTTTGGGCTGGACTTGAACTTACTATGTAACCTAGGCTGGCCTCAAACTCAGGGTAATCCTCCTGCCTCAGCCTCCTGAATGCTGGGATTACAGGAGTGAGCCACCATGCTCTGCTATATTTGAGGTTTAAATAAATGGAATTTAGGGAAACCAGTAAACAACAAATAAGATAAGGTAAAAGAAAATAAATCAGAAATCTAGACATGCTGGAAATATAATAGGGTTAAAATTCATTTAAAATAAATGTCTGAAATTCTCTACTGAACTATAGTAATCTCAAAACTATAAAAATGATACCATATTAATATTATTTTATACAACTGTAAATGCCATTCAATTTAAGTTCATGTATATTATTTTAATTTCCTATGTATAACTTAAGAAATTTTGACATAATCAGAGTAATACCAGAAAAGATAAAACTAGGAACTGAAATGCTGAGGCTAAACATTTCCTAAATTCAAGCGTTTTACCTATACTATCTCATTTCTCCTACATAATTACATTATGAGGCAATTTTATCATCCCCATTTGATGGGTGAGGAAACCATGATTTAAAAAAATTAAGAAGTTTGCCCAAGATCACACAGAAAAGAAAATGGGACTGAAACTCAGGTTGTGTAGCTCTTTTCACTACACTTTCCAAATGGCAAGGAACACCTACACTGAAAGTTCCAGCCTTATAATTAATACTTACTAAAGAAGAGACATTATCAAACTTACAATGAACAGTGATAATGTAGACTGAAACAAGTCTAGTTTGATAATTACACACAAATATGTAAGACATAATTCTAAGTCAAGCATGACTTTTCTTAAAAGCTTAATGTATCATATCATAAAAATGGAAAAATCTTTAAGTAGAAAGGTGCTAGACAAATTCACCTCAACTAGATAACTTGAAATTTCAAAGACAAACTTTGGAGGTTCTATACTTCACACGTGTCAGCATACAACAATCTCTTCTAGTAGAGCAGGATTAAAAAGTGACTAGTAACTGAGTCTGTTTCCTTTGTTCTGACTCTAATCTGTCCTCCATTCTTTTGTTTTTTCCCCAGAAGTTGGAGACTTGTTCTAATGAAGGGTAAACTGAGCATCCAGTTAAGAAACTCTTAAAAACTTAGAAGCAAATGCACATACACTGAAAGGAAGTCCATAAAATCACAATGATTTGTAAAGTATTACACAAGAAATGGTAATTTCAATCATTTCCCAAAGGACTTAGAGAAGTACTATAAACTCCCTCAAATAATTTTAAAGCATTTAATTTGTATAATCAATTAAAAACGGGGAAAGGGAATATGAAAGGGAAGGGAGCAAGGAAATCTGGAGCTTTGATTACATTTTTAAAATCTAAATGTGTCATTGTTTCCAAATTAACAATCTACCACTAGGAGTTCCAAAACTATGATCTGTTTGTTCCCTTTAATCTCTCAGTGGTATGATATGTTCACTATAAATAAACATGCCAAAGATAAATGAAAAGTAATGAGGCAATCCAAGAATCTGTGAATTGAGACATACCTCTGAATTTTAATATTTATATAGGTGAAGTAGATAGGAAAAGATTTACTGAAACTGAAAAAATGATTCAAATGCTTAAAGAGCAGGAATTTCCTAAGTATGGAAAATGACAAATACGATACACATATGTGAACTTATACCTATTGTCACTCTAATTCCTTTTTATTACAAAGTGAAGTTCTGTATTAAAGTACTCTGTTATCAACACCATGAAACAATATCCAAGACAGCTCTGATTCCTATCAAAATATTGAATCCTCCTAGTTACTTCAGTCTCTGTGAAGTATGTAGTTCCACTAAAAAAAGTTCATATTAAAAAACAAAAATAGCTCATATTTCTAAGTTTTTTCCATTACAAAAATACATTTATTCCAAAACACGTGAGACTGACTATATTGTTATATTATCAAAACACTGCATAATTGATAATTCCTTGGCCCTCCCTCTAAAACATGCTCATTTGTAAATAAAGTACAAAACTAGTCTATTAACTCAGAAGTTTAGTTTTAAAACAAAACTTTATTTGTATGAATTCATTAGATCTCTTTTCTTCTGATCACCTAAATGTAATTTATTTATCTGGGCTTTGGTTACGAAGATAACTTCGTAACTTGCACAGACACTTTTTCCATTTACAAACAGAAGTAACACCCTACAATATTTTAGCATTATAATCATTATACTGGTTTTTGAAACTTAATATTTGGGTCCCCCCCATCCCTTAATATTTACTACGTAACAGCCATATATAAAAACTGTTACTACTATGTAAGTGGTAGGTGCAACTCAATTTTTTTTTTGCATAATTTGAATTTCTTCTTGTTAAAACACTGGAGGAAAAAAAAACTACCAAATTTGTAATGTTCACAGACCTAAATTATACCTACATGATAAAGATGAAAGTGATTTGTGTATCAGCAGCCTGAATTACTCTGCCTCTGGACTACTGACATCTATCTTTGAAGTAGTGCAGAAGTTACACTAACTAGATACTAACTAATCTTAGACAGTGTATATTTAATGCTGTCAACTAGTGCAGAGAAATAGATCTTCAGTACAGGTCTTTTATGGAAAAAAACAGAGGAAAGGTTTTCTGTGTCTCAAGAATGCTAGCAGTGAAAACGTCTAGATTATAAATGATACAATCTTTCTATACACTGACTGACAAACTTGTGGCTCTCAATAAAAAGTCTTCATAAAGCCCACACATGTATATCAGGACTACATCAGTGCATAATTATATTTTGCAGTTTTTTCAATCTTGTCTTATTCCACATTTGGGTTGAAAAATATTTTCTGATCTTTAATCACTAACATAGTTAAGGTTTATCCTCATTGATTTTTCCGTTACATTTTCATATACTGCGACTTCATTTCAGAAACTGCTTCAGATTAAAATATCTGGAGAAAGGGGAAATAAAGAGTACCTTTATGCCAAAATGACAGTGAGACCAACAGGAATATATACAGTTGCTTCTGAATAACACACAACAAATTCATTTTTTTCACCCACAGGATGAGCGAAAATGAAAGACCACGACAAACTTTAACAAATTATATTCTATATTACAACCTACTGAACAGCAAAATCACAAATGTACAAAGTGCAATACAACCCCGTAAACTCCAATTTTTGCAAAGTGTCCAGCCCTACAAATGATCTTAACAGAAACTCTTGAAGCAGAAAGTTGGGCAGAAGGTGCCTTCCAACACCTCATCCCATCCCTAAATGGCCTAGGGAGCAGAAACTTTAGGACAGTACCAGCTTCACACTGGGGTCTATCTCTCCGGTAGACCCCTGGAGAACATGCAACAACGAGGAGAAAGGCATCGAATTGCAAGAAGCTGACACAGGGATTTGGGGAAATCCAGAGGACTTCAGACGACCGCAGGGACCCAGAAGTAGAAAGGGACTGGAGTGACCCTTTGGGTTGGGTGCCGGGCAGCGTGAGGCGGCGTCGGGACAGCAGCTGGCTGAGAGCAGGGTGCGGGTGCGGACGAAGGCCGAGGTTCCCCGGCCCGCCGACCCGCCCCGCAGCCCCCCAACCCCGCGACGGGGCGGGGCCAGCGCCCGCCACAGCCGCTCACGCCGGCACCGGCCCCTCAGCCTCCCGGTCCGGGATGGTGGGAGGGGCAGGCCTCGCTGGGCCGGGGGTGCGGCCCGTCTCGAGCCGGACCTGGAATGTTCCGCCGCGGGAAGGAGGGTAAGCAAGGCACCCTACAGCCTGGGGCGGGGATGAGGGGTGGCTGAGGGCGGAGGAAGAGCCCCGCGCGCAGCCCCGCCGCAGGGCCAAACCCTGGCGCCCCCATACGGGCAGGGATGGTTGCCCCCGCTCCGGGCTGGCCTTCCCCGCCTCTTCCCCTCTCCCCTGGCGCTGCCCCGAGCAACAGCGCCTACCGCCGGCGGCGCCAAACGTACCTACCTAGAACCTGACAAGCAGGAGCCCCTCAGACACTGGAGCCCGTCGCCACCCCGCGTCACGGGGACCATCTCAGCCAATAGACGTTGCTGTCAGGAACCTCTGCGGCCAATCCCGCTACACTCCGGTTTCCGGGCACCTTGGAGACTTTAGCCAATGGGCAGGAACGGAAGGCGGGCACTGCGGCCGGCCCCAGCCCCCTCCTCGACCACCTCCCAGGGGGCGGGGCGCGGCCCGGGTCTGGGCGCGGAGAGGCGGTGCTGGGCTCGAGGCCCGGTGGGCGCGCGGAGCTGCGGCTGGGGAGTGCGGGGGCGTGGAGCCCCGGCCGCCGCCCTCCGGGTCAGCTCTCCTGCAAACCAGGTCCCGCTCCCCGCCTCAGTCAATGTCTCCTCCCCAGGCTGTCCTGGGCTGCCGGGGCGCGATGGGGCCGGAGGCGGGCGGCAGCAGCACAGGAAACTTCGGAGGCTCGCCTGACCGCGGCCACCTCCCGGGGTCGGGGTGATAAGCGGGGGCCGCCGGGAAGGGGCGACCGCGTGGGCGGCGCGGCGGAAGAGGAATTCGCGGAGGCGGCGGCGTGAGGATACTGGGAAGCGCTGGAGCGAGGCGGGCCCGGGAGCCCTCAGCCCTCTCCCGCGCTCTCGGCCACTCTGCTCGTAGATTCCCACGTTTCAGTGGAATCAGTTGTAACGCTGACTCCAGTGAAATGATTTTTTATCTTTTCCAATTCTGAGTTCTGAGTCATTCCTCTGTTCCCAGTGCCTGAGACTAAGAAAGTAAGTCGCAGGACTCAGTACGCGCAGTACTGGACTTGTGGGTGTCGTACTAACGTGTAAGGCAGCTCCTTGAATGGGTTCTCTGGAAGAAGTCTTTACAGAGTGTGCTGGCTCGCCCTGTACTCCCTGCGCTGGGACACCGAGGAAGAAGGATTGCAAATCGGAGACAGGCCTGAGCAATCTGTGGAAACCCTACCTCAATGAAAACCAGCCTGGGGAGGGTGGGTGCTGAGTACTCAGCTCAGTGCTCCCTGGGTTTAATTCCAGTACGACCAGAGGAAAAAACAAAACAGATAAACAAAAAAACCTTACCTGTTCCAGAGTCAAGACTGCGTGAAGAAACCAAACTGATACTGCTCTTCCACTGAAGGGCGTTGCTGAAGAGTCCTTCGCTAAAAGAATTTGGTGGGAAATGAGTAATGTGATCTAAAATTATTAGGTGATGTTTAAGGTGTGAGCTACTCCTCACTGAGGGCTGACCCAGCTTCCTTTAGCAAGCTTTTTAAGGCATTATATCTTACACATGGATTGAACTAAATTATTTGCCTGGAATGAATCTTAACATCACTCTATGTACACCCTCTCCCTCAAAAACCCTTGCCAAAAAAGTGACATTTTTTTTTTCTAAACAGGCTTAGTTCTTTGACCATAATAAACAGCCAGCCTCTACCCATAGAAGAACGTAAATTTTTTTTCTTTTTTTATTGGTACCAGGGATGGAACTCAGGACCGCACACTTGCAAGGCAAGTACTTATGCTGCTGAGCTAAATCCCCTGCCCCAACAACATAAATTTTAAATTGGACTTTTTTGTTGTTATTTGAAAGACCAGAAAACCAAATCATACTCTTAAAGCCAAGTGTTTTTTTTTTTAATTTTTTTAAATAGTAAAGATTTTTTACCTCTTTTTCTCAGAGCATTTTTCCTATAACAAGTAATTATGAAGTGCTTTCTACTTCTTTGAAATGTACATAAACACTTTGGAAAACTAGATAGATTTTTTTTTTGTCAGTTTTATGATCCAAGAATATCTCTCAAAACCTGCAGCACCATTCGAACAGTAGGATCTGACTTCAGTGTGCCTTGCTCCATGTAGCAAAACTTCCTACTGCTTTTCAGGAAATTTTGTTTTTCCTCTGTTAAAGCTAATCGGCTAACTCAGGTCAGTGTCCCCAGCTCTCCTGTCAAGTTCTCTTATTTGAGAACTGTTCATCTTGAAAATACATGTATGTAATGGTATGTGTCTGCTCTGCTATATAAAATGATGAGATTTCTTTCTGTTTTTGCAATCTCATACCAAATTGCCTATGATACGTAGCATTGTGGTTTAATGTTTATGAGATAATAAAACTTTTCTCTCTACTACCTTTGTGGAGAGGCTTTCTTGGTTGGAAGATTGTTATTAGTATATTCATTGTTTCCCCCAAAATACTTACGCCCATATATTGAGACAATAAAATTAAGGAAGGTTACTTCTTTTTTAACTTTTGCTACCTAAAATGATCTCGTTAGTTGCTATTTTATCATTGAACTACAAATAATATCAGAAATGATGATGTTAAATATGTACTTTTATGTTCAAACTAAGCCTCTGTGAGTATACCTCTTAAAACATGTTAATTGGCTGTAAGTATTCGTTTTAGTTACTTTTTACTCATTGCTGAGACAAAATACCTGATGCCCAAAGTAAAGGAAGAAAAGGTTTATTTCCTTACAGTTCTTGGAAGTTTCAGTCCATACTCAGTTGGCTCCAAGGCAGCATGGCATAGTGGGTCAGCCACACATGGCTGCTGCAAACAGCAAGGCACTAACCAGCAAAGAGAGACACACCTTTCTCCTGCCATTACGTAGTATGTTGGCTCCACTTCTAGGCGGGTATAGCACTCACACCACCAATCCAAGCGCTACACAAGGAACCAATCGCAAATGCTAGATTTGATTGTGTCCACAATTTACGAGGTTTGGGGGGGCCACTGACGAAAACCATAACAATATTAAATATTGTATGTCATGTCAATATGAAGGACTTTAGGGAAAGTTTGTGCATTAAATAGTTTGGTATAGGAGGTGACCTGCTCTTCCTGATACCTAGCACCTGATACCAGTGCAACTGTGGGTTGCATTGCAGGTGGTAGATTGAAATTAACTTGCCAGGCGGCTCCCCTTGAATGCAGAACAGTTGGTTCAGCTTTAATTAAACAACCTCGTCTCCATGTAATGATATGTATAGAGCTAGCGATGCGATTTCCTTCTCCCTTCAATAGGCTCTAAGCAATGCAAATAAGGGTAGCTAAGGTACTGATATGTAATCTTTGAAGCTAGTCAGTAGTTTTCTGTTTCTCAAATCATGCTCCTTATAAACAGTTGAGAACAGCAGAATGGCAGAGCCCCATAGCCTAGGAATGTCAACTGGGATGGAGCCACAAGTTATGACTTTCCAGGACACAAATATTTACATATCAAACTGAAGCAACAGCCTCCTAAGTCATTCAAATGCTACCTCAAATCAAATTACGCAGATTGGTCTTTCTGCATACTCTTCCTGCACATTGGACCCCACCTGGCCAGCTCAGCTCACATTGCTTATGTCATTCCCGCCAATCTCACTGTCACTCATCCTTGAGTCACTCCCTTCACAAGATAATAAATTTTGGGTAAGGCCTTGGGTCAGGGCCTTTGTTACATGTATCCTTGGACTGGATCCAAGACCCCTTGGCTGCCTGTAGCTTTAAATATGCCTCAATGTCTATTCTCACTGTGAGTTGGTAGATTGGAATTAACTTGCCAGTGTTCCAGTAGCATTTCAATGGGATTACAAATACAAAATTTCTCAAACTGAGAGGAGGACGAGAAAAGAGATTATAATATTTAGATCATGATATACAATATTTAGTTTACAATAGTTTAGGAAGCCAAATGTAGCTTTGGACATTGTTTCATCAAAGTTTTAACTTTCTCAAGACCCTTAGGAGTTCTTGACCTTTATAAAAAGAGAATATAAATCTCTGGTTGGTGAATTAGTGATTACATATTTGCAGAAAATAGTTTAAATATAGACAAGTGGTGGTACATGCCTGTAATTCAGTAGGCTGAAGCAGGAGGATTGGTGCACATTGGAGGCCAGCATGGAATACAAGTGATTTTAAGGCCAGCCTTGAACTGCATACTACATGGTGAGACCTTGTCTTAAGAAAAAAGAAAAAGAAAGAAAGAAAAGAGAAGTTTTTGGTGTACTTTGTGTGTATACACTGCTTGTGAATAAGGAACCCACTATCAGAAAGCAGTAAGAGTCTGCTGCATCAATAGTTATCAGTCTCACCTTAGGATACTTAAATTGTCTACCATGTGCTAGACATTATTCTGGGAAATACAATTTTGCATGAATGTGCTTGAAATAAAGGAATATGGCAAAAAAATCTGCAGATTTCAGATAAAAATTACAGCACATCTAGTTTTAAATATTTTCTATGTTATAATTACCTCTGCCCTGTACCACATTTTAATAAATGTCTTTTCAGCTGCTTCTAAAAATACTGTGCAACTTTCCTTATGTCTTATAAATGTAGGGAGACTATAGAAGAAGGAAGGAAAATAATTTCCTGTCTAAATGATCCATGGGCTTCATAAAGTAACTTTCCCACAAAACCTGGAGGAATATGTATCTCAAAACTGTTAGCATACAATTTAGTATATTCTTTCTTTGAAATTTAGCTCTGTACCAAGTACCACCATGACATTTCCAATGCTGGAGTACTATCTGGCTATATGCAAATAAATCTATATTCCATTTTCTCAAATAATAAATTTTATGTTTTAATAACTATCTGAACAAATGAATATAATAATGTGTATATAAAACTTAAATTATTAGTGAAAAAATACTTTTAAAACTCTTTATTTTATGGTTAGTGCTAGCTGTTTCTCATCCTGTCTCTCACCCTCCCTTGTCTTTCTCTTTAAGAATGTTTCATGAGCTTCAAGAGGAATCTTGGCTGTATGTCATCTTAATTCAGTAGTTCCTATTTATGCCTCCTTCTTTAATGTGTGCCTCTTTTCTTTTCCTCTATTCTGCCAACTTCTTTGGTTTTTAACTCTCTGATGTCTAATGCACAAGTCATACCTAACCACTTTTACATAATCACTCCTAAAATATGGTGATGTGATATGCAGTACTGAAAGCATATGTCTTTATCCTATATATCTGTAGTATCTTTTTTCAGAAGATCTAAATTCACTTCATTTTGAAAACTGCTCTCTTGAATTAACATCTTTTTCTCAGAATTCACCTGTCCTTTCCCACATTCCCTTATTTTCGGTTCATTGTGCCTTCGAAGACAATGGTCAAATATGGACC